ATGATATAAGATTGGTGCAAAAGTAAACACATCTTTTCAAGCATCAATTGATGCTTTGGCTTCTTTACTCCACTCAAGTTTGTCTTTATAAGTCAAACATATAAGTAGAGCTGCAACTTGAGAAAAATTCTTGATAAAGATCCAATAGTAATTAGCAAAGCTTAAAAATCATTGTATCTATTTTACTATTCTTGGAATCTTCTAATCTATGATAATCTAGATTTTTTTTGGATCCATCATAAGTCCTTCATTTAAAATGATATATCCTAGAAAGCAAACTTGAGTAGTGTGAAATACACACTTTTCTAACTTGGCATATAATCTTGTATCTCTAAATTTTTGTAACACATGACAAATATGAACTTTATGCTCTTCTGTATTCTTAGAGTAGATTAAGATGTTTTTCAAATATCAGATGACAAAATCATCAAGAAACTCACAAAAAGACATCATTCATTAAATATTGAAAAGTAACTAATATATTCTTGAACCCAAAAGGCATGATATTATATTCAAAATGCCCATATTTGTACAAAATATAATTTCCTATTCATTTCCTTCATTAATGAATACTAGATTATATGCTCCTCATAAATCTATTTTTGTATAGATCTTTGCTTCATTGAGTTGATCAAGAAGTCTTGAAATCAAAGGTAGAAGATACCTATTCTTAATGGTAATCTTGTTGAATCTTTGATAGTCTACACACATCTCCATAGATCAATCTTTTTTCTTCACAAATAAGATAGAAGCCTCAGCTAGAAATTTAAAATGACATATGAAATTCTTAGCCAAATTTTTATTAATGTATTCTATGAATGCAACCAACTTATTTTGTCATAGGCTATAAATTGGTCCAAATGGTGGTTGAGATCCTTCATGAAGATTGATAGAACAATCATAAGGATGATGCTTTAGAAGAATATCTAGATTTTTTGTTTCAAAAATATCTTAGAAATTTTGATATTGGCTAAGAATACCACTTAACATCTTTTTTCTATTAGAAATAGGCATGGCATATAAAGCAAAAGATAATCCTTTTTTTGCAGCATGCATAAAAGCTCTTATACCTACCAATAAGGATTTTGATGTATTAGACTTATGTATTTTTACTTGACTAATGGAATTTTTGATTAAACTATCAAAAAAATTAAAGTTAAAAAAAATCTAATCTATTTAAGGATTATATTTTTTTAAGTAAGATAATCTTGAAATAATCGGATTGAATGGAGATCTTATTACATTAAATATTACTATAATATTATGATCTTTAATTGTTACATCTAAAAAAACACTCTCATATGTTATTTCTCTAGATGATATCAAATAACCATCTATAACTTCTATATGTATAGGTATAGTTTTTTTGACTAATGATATCTCTTTTTTTTTGACAAAAACTTTGTCTATAAAATAGGGTGAGGCTCTTAAATCTAACAAAGATAAGTCTTTGTGATTTTTTGATCCTAAATAAACTTCTATTGTAAAATAAGGTGAAGGATCTGAGGAGAGAATAGGACCTTTATTAGGAATTATGTAAGATTCCAACTGCACAATCCCTATTGTAGCTGGACAAACTTGTTTTTTGACACCATGTCTTCTTTGGCAACCATGCTTTTTAATTTGTAATTGTGTTGTTTCTTTAGACAATGTTGAATAATGTGTTTAGTTTTTCCACAATATAAGCATAAGTCCTCTTCACATTGTTGAGTATTTTTCTACTTTGTGAGGAGTTTAAAACATACCATATCAGTTTGCAATGGTTCTAGCCTCAATGAATAAGTTTCTAAAAACTTAAGAGTTGTCAACATTATTTGATTTATTCTTCTTTAGCAAAATCTTTGTTCTTGATGTCTTTCAAATAATTGATTGTTGCATATAATGGCTTGAGTAATAAATTATTTCAAAGATTCTACCTTTCGCATTGTCAGTAACAAATTTTTAATATTATCCTTCAATCCATATCAAAATTGATTAATAAGCGCTTCATTATTCTAATCCATGTCACAAGTGAGGTTTTGGAATTTAGCAGCATATATAGTGGCTGACCATGATCCTTGCCATAAAGATAAGAGCTTAATTTCTATTACTCTTTCTTCATCATTTTTTCTAAATGTGGCCGTAAATACTTCTAGAAATTAATTTAAATCATAAAGGAGTCATGAATCCTTTTCTATTAAAGATACAAATCAAGAGAGAACACTTCCTAATAGAACTGTGCCTACAATCCGATTTGAGTAAATCCAATGGGATATTAGAAGGAATGCAACTTTAAATAGAGCTTGATTTGTTGCAAAAATCCTCAAAATTTTGATCTTGTTCCATCAAACTTCTCAAGCATATTAATTCTTATCCCTGTCATACTTATAGAAGCAAAACTCTTTGGATTTGGTTATAAGGTCAATCTACTTACTTTCTTGAATTACACAATTTCTTACCGCAAACTCTGAACTTCTTCTATAGGCGTAGGTATAGTACTTCTATGATTCATATTGGAAATACGTGAGATTTGCACTCTTAGAGTATTGACAAGCTCATGAAGATCTACAATAGTTGCAAATCTATTCTTACTTCTACTGAGAGCAGCATCCATAATATATATATATATATATATATATATATATATATATATATGTTTTATAAACAATTCAAACAAATTCTAAAAACTAAATTAGAAGAAAATAATTTGTAACTTCTAATATTAAATAAAAATTTCCATAAAGAGAGATAATCCACTATCTTTTACAAAAAGATCAATATTAAAAAATAAGATTTTTTGTTTAAAGGTGGATAGTCTATAACTTTTAAAATACAATAATAGAAGCGGGATAATCCACTCACTTTTAAAATAAGACAGAAAGAGTAAGTCAGCATTCTTATCAAATTGTCAAAGATATGAATCTCAAAGAGAAAAATCCTCAATACATTCTTGTATCACTGAAAGGAATTAGAAAGTCAATCAAAGATGATAAAATATTAAATTAGAATGGCTATTGCCAAAAATAAGAAGACTAGAAAGTCTTAAAAGAAGACTAGGGACTTGAAAGGCATTGGCAAGAGTAAAGAAGGCTTCACTCTTACCTCCATATATACTCTTAACTAGGAGCTATGTGGCAATATCGTGTAGGACCTCCAAAATATGTTGACTTTGCAAGACATGTATCTTAACTTATAAGGCAAGTTTTCTATATGTGTGCCACATAGTTAGCTTCTTCTGCAAGCTATCAACAGGTGGTTAACTTATTGACCAAGTTTCTAATCTATCAATCAATTACAAACACATGTTAAGTCAAAGCAACATCTGTAAAGCTTTTAGGAAGCTTCACTAGAAGGTATTATGAAATTAATCTATCTTTACCTACTTCTACCTATTCATATTACTTAAGTAACAATTATAGTAGATATATATTCGTGATACTAGTATTTTCTTTTAAAGAAAATCCACAACTTCACATTTTTACACATGCAAACTAGGAACATGATTTAAATACTTGAAGATTCACATTAGGAATTTTGCATAAGATTGGCAACGCAAGCATTTTATAGACAAGTAAATTATAGCCTATAATTTTATTATCAACAATAAAAGAAAAATATATTGTTTTAAGCAATGCAATCAAATTCATCATTCACTTGAAAAGGTTGCTATCAAAACTAGGAGAAAATATATATGAGCTTAGAAAATTACTAAATAAAAATCAATCATGTATGAAGTTGGTAAGTAATCCCATAAAAAATTTTAAAAAAAAAAAAAAAAAAAAAAAAAAAAACATAGGGCTTTTAGACTTCTCATATTTAGAGAGTTCTTCTAAAATTTAGATTAGTTAAAAAAGTATTCTTGCCAATAGCCATCTTTTGAAACCTTATCAGTCTTCATATTAATCAAAAAACTTATTATAGTTGAAAAATTTAATCTTAGGAATTACAATAGTATCAAGGACATGAAATCAAAGAATGTGAATAAATAAGTGAGACATATATCAAAGACAAATGACAATAAAGAAATAAGAAAGTATGTATACTCAAGAAGAAATTAGAGTGGCTATTGCAAAAGACTAGAAAGAGTGTCTTGAAACTAAACTAGAAACAAGATAAGAGTGAAGAATGCTTCATTCTCGCTTCTATATATACTATCTAACTAAGAATTACATGATTAAGTCTTACTAAATCTTTATTAAGATATTATGAATAAAATTATATTTAGTTTTTATTTATGCATTGTTATAGAGATATTTTACTTATATTAGTTTACAAGATCTTATTACTTTTTAAGTCTACTAAAGATTTAAGTAGTCATGACTAAACTTGCACCTTAAGTTGTATTAGACTTACAAACAAAAATATTAATTAAATTATAAGGTAGAAATGTATACATATATATATATATATATATATATATATATATATATATATATATATATTTAAAAACTAAAAATAAATTAGTTTAAAAGTTATTTATATATATTATTTTAAAAAAATTAATATAGATTTTAAATAAGCAAATACTTAATACAAAAAATAAGTAGATAAAACTACCAATATTACATATGATTTGCATTTGTAAAGTTGTAAAAAATATTAAAAGTGTTATTAAATATAATTTTTTTAAATCTTTATACTAATGCCACTAATTAGATAGGTTGCTTCAAGGTGTTGGCTCAAGTCAAAGCATTGTCGTGTTTAAATTGTCTTTCTAATTTCATTGTTTTTGTATCTCCATCACTGCAACTCATTGCATTTACTACATAATTAGTGGATATAGTGTGCAATTCTTCTACCTATATATTTACCTATATATCAAGATGGAAATATTAAGACAAATATAAAGGTTTGATATTATTTTTTTCCCTAAGGCATACAACAAGAATGTCTTCCATTTATGCACACATGTAAAACATAACTCCATTGTGATGAAAAATTTGGAATACTTTTAGATGTTTCTTACATAATATTATCAAGATAACTCTTGCACAGCAGCAAAGGAGATTTCTACAAGCAGAAAGATTCAACCTTACGGATAAACAATCTCATCCGAAGACAAAAAAAATTGTCTTTCATTCAAAATTGGGTTTACAATAGTACAAACTGTTTATATAAATATCATTTTCTAAGAGGAATCCCTCCCACTCAAAACTAGACTATCCATCCTAAATCCTGAAATGTTCATTGTAGGAAATTACTCCTCCAACTTTTCCTATCTGGGATTCTTCTTGCAACCACCTTAATCCAAGCTACTATATCCTAACTCCCGTGAAAAAAAAGCTTGTCTGTAAGACTCTTCAATACTCATTAATCCAAAATAAGCGAGCACTCCTGTAAATATGACAGAAAAGCAAAAGAAAAAAAACTAAATGAAAAAGCTCACCGCTATAGGATCCAGCAGACGGCGCCTGTATGCATGAATCGAACACCAGGTTCCAAGCACAAATACAATGACGTCAGAAGTAAATACTGAGAAAAGTGAGTATTCTATAACTCGATCATTTTCAAATAATTAAGTTCATACTACAAAAGAAACGCAAGGTGCCATTCAAAACGGTTGTTTTCTAATGCTTGAAACGGAAATAAAATTTGGACGCAATGAACAGTAACAAAATTCTACGCCAAATACTGCACTTAATGGAGCCCGTCAATCTACTGTAAATTTATAAATTCTTACAAATGCATCGTAATTAGAGAAAAATCTTCACAAGTATGGGCGTCGGCATTAATAAAGTAAGATTGGGTGAGAAAAATACCAGAATTATAGCCACAGCATAGGCTTCGGTCATCAACGTGTTCTGTATCCAATCCTAGCATCCAAGCTCCAACTGCTACGTCCTCATTCTTATAATCTTTGAGATGAGCACTGCATGAAAATACGCACATGATAATAAGAACAAACGACCACATCAAACAGGATGACTAGAGCACATATGAGTTTCGAAAAAAATAATGATTAAATACATTGATACCCACCTATTAATCGATATGTGCAGTGCTAGTGATCTAGAAAGAACGTAAACTTGACCAGCAGCATGTCGATGGTACCTGCACGCAAATCAACACAACTTTGAAAATGCATTTCAGCAATGATCGAACAATAGTAAAGGCTTAGGATATAAAACTTCTAAACAATCGAATCGAATCGATAAAAACATTCCGCAATATATACATTGCTCGACACTAATGGAGGTTTTAAAAGGCTAGCAAAAATTTATAACACTATGACAGTAAAAGGCACATTAAGCGAAGATGCTTAAAGTCTAGATATTTCAGTATCACACGATACGTAACTCAAGCGTCCATACTCACTCTGACTTTTGCTCTCCAAACTTCCACCAGTCAGGCTCATACCATTGAGCATTCCTACATCACAATGACAGAAAAATTAAGTGTCCTCTTAATATCACGCAAGTGCAGAAAACGTCATAAGGCTTCTGATTGTCCACTCAAGATTGACGTATAGTAAATTTTGATCATTGAAAAACAATTGAAGGCAATAGAAAAATCAGAGAATGCCCTCATCAAATGATTCATGGACACATAATTATACTGACTAGAGTCTACACAAGTTCAGTTCAGAAAATATGGGGGTGTTAAATGACAGCAAAAACACATACGTGTTATAGAAACAAGGAAACCGATAAAAAAAACACACACACACACACAAAATGGCATGTTTCTAGGTCCAACCAACTACGGTCATACACTTCCATGTGACAACTCCAGAGAAACTTACGGGTCAAATACAACCACCCCAGCTTTCATGCAACCTACATATACTCTGGGCTTGTCGTGGTGTTTGGATAGCATGGATGCCACCATGTCTGCTTTATGTCCACATGCCCACAACACACGTTTACAGAGCCTTCAAAGTATGATAAACTAGACAAGCATACAAACAGGAAACGAGATTTTTAGGATAAAAGACCCTTGACTCTAATGACGTGTAGCTTCACATAAGTAATGCTCTCACCTAAATTTAGGCCAATATTATCATCCATCTTCACATAGAAATCTGCGTCCCAAATATGAACTGCTTTGCTGAAAAAAAGTCTGGTTTTCTGTGTAACGTCATCATCACTTTCAACATGATCTTCCTGTAGAGATACAGAGCACCATCAGCAGTAGCCTTCGAAGAAAATCGTACAGTGGAATCTGTATGTGAATATGGCTAATGACCGGGAAAAGAAATTAGGTGTACATCCCGAACAGTGAAACGTGCGAAATGTAACGCGGAGGATAATCCATATAGATATAAGTGGACATAAAACGAGATCAGTTATGTCAGTTGAGTACCAATATTAAAAAATCATTTGTTTCTTTGCTTTCTTGATCAATTTGTCGGTCCAGCATGTCGCCTCTATTTGAACTGCGACCAATGACGTAACGAATGATGATACCTTTGTCATTTTCAAGCTCCTTAAGTGCAGAACCTGCCATCACAAGGTACAGTTCAAATGGAATGCAAACTAGAAACAGAGGAAACAAGCCAAATGCGTTAAAAGTAAGCCAGCACATGTTCCCAAGCTATGATATACATCATTGTGATAGGATGCCATGTTTCCTACCACTTTTTGGGTGTGACAAACTCAATATGACTGCGAATAGCAGAGGGCGGCACTTGCGCGGGTTACTACTCAGATTTAGAAAACAGCTCCATCTCGAAGAGACAACAGAAGAACCTTAAAAGGGAGGAATCATGAAATACAAGTAACGGGGGCAATAAGTACCAGAAGGTAGCCAATTCTTGCGAGAGGACGTGCGGCGGGACTGACCACCAAAATTAGTGAATATGCCTACAACTATTTTTCTGTGACCGTTCACGCTCGTACAGTTAATAGGCTTGTACCCTTGCCTCTTTGCTGCAGCTAACTCCAGCTCTGCATCTACTAACTTCCTCTGTTGCTCTCTGTGAAATAGATTCTTCGATAAGTCCACAATCGTTAAAGCTAAAATCCTCAGGGATTGCTCTTCGCAACTGTACATTAGAACATTACATCACACCGCAACATGCCTACGGAATTCGATCAAGTTTTCTGCACAAGATGTCAAATGCCGATTGCTGAGCATTTAAATTAAGGAGCAGATGCATATGATTCAGCGTGGCAAGGTAAACCTTACTTGCAGTCTATCAACCTCAGTGTTTCATCCAGTGAAACGGTATCTTTTGCCTGCGAAGAGAAAAAGGGGATCAAAGTATCAATTCTCTGCCAGGAAAAGATCAGTAAATTATTTGCAATAATAAATAGGGTGTTGCAGAACACTGCCACTCTACGGCTACGAAGCTAGAGTAATCTACGCTCAAAAGAGTATGAATAAGACTGAAGAATCTGAAAAAGGACCTGATGCCTGATACTCGGATCAGTACTACTCAGCTGTACTTTTATTATATAATCCTCCCATAGCCTGGAGCTCAACATTGAAAAGGTGTCAAAAAAGGGCACAGGAAGTCATGAGTATCCCATGTGCAATTGAAACATGAGCACTGAAAAAAAAGACGCTCCATTGATGCCCGTCTTAAGATGATCCTTCAGGTCCTAAGAACCCATATGGCCGTGGTTCTCGAAATCTCCGTTCAGTCATGGCACAGATTAACCAACGGCTGAGCCTACAGTCATCTGTTAAACTATACTTCACTTAAAAATTAGGTATATGGCCATTTTGCAAGTGCTCATGAAAGAAAACTCATGTGTCGGTAAACATTGCATTTACGCGCATTTCAAATGTGATTTACCTTTCGAAAAACTGACGTGACGTTTCATCAACTAAATATTGCATAGAATGATGTATTGCTAGATACTGTGCCCATATGACTTCAAAAGCAACAAAATAGGTCTTCTTAATTCACAAGATTCCCTATCACGCACACGTTCTTTGAGCACATGTAGGTGGCAAATCGACGTCAACTTAAATTAAAAAAGACCAAAATTTTATAAAGTAAAAACAAAAAGTAAGAACCCTAAAGATTAACAGGTAGTGGTCTCAGAAAGAAGCGAGCAAACTGCAACAATGAGAAACGGAACTGTCAAATCTAATGAAAACAACACCTGTCAAAATCGAGCAATGCTCATTAGAACAGATTGATCTATCCCAGAATTTCAATACGAACATCTCCCCAGAACCGATGCATGTTCCTGATTCTGACTAAGTACTCGAAAGTCCAAGCTCAAGAATTCCCAAACGACTCTATGACGAAAATCCACTGACCCCACAGGCTAACTAAAATTCATCTCCCAAGCTTGCAATCCCCACATCAACCCTCCACACAAACACACATCACCCCGCAAGCGAACTCAAAGATCCAAAACGAAAGCCAAATTGACGCAATCCACCAGAAACCCAAGGCTGGTGAGAATTGGAGCACCTTTCACCGGTGTAGATCAATGCAAGCAGGGACACGAAGAACAAAACGTAGCCCGTCATGCTGTCTTTCCTCATGTTGCCTCCCTTTGGATGGAGACCACGGACGGGCTTCATCGAACGCTAGGAGGATCTCCAGGGTGAGAAAATTTGTGGGTATTGCAGGAGTGGTGAGAGCGAAGTGATGAGAATCTCTATCTCACGGGGAGGGAGAGAGGCGGCTCATTGGGTTGGCTGTGGCTGTGGCGTGGCTTCGGCAACCCACCATCGCCGAGATCGAAGTAAGAGCTGGCCCGCACTCGCTCGGAACTCAGCGCCCCACTTCCTTCCTTCCTTCCTTCCTTCCTTCCTTCTGGAACCTGAGGTCCCCCTTAATCCAGGTCCACATCTCCATTATTGGTGCCAATATTTGGGTCTTTGTCCGCAATCTAGGTCCTTTAATTGTAGCCCCCTCGTCTTTGGGGTTATTCTTATCTTACCTACAGTTGACTGCCGACGACCGCTTAATAAATTTAATAAATAATACTACTGTGAAGTGAAGGGGCTTTAATACTTAGAGGTCACAATTTTTAAATTCTTTCTACGGATGAAATATAGCAGCATCTGAATTTCAACCAAAAGAGGTATAACTTCTCACTCTTAAATAATTAAATAAATTCACTTTAATTCTAATGCTTTTATGATATTAAATAAATAAGGTTTTGAAGAAAAATTTAGGATTTTTGTATGAATGAAATAGTCTTGTTTTATTTTATCTTAATAATGTTTATATATATATATATATATATATATATATATATGTGTGTGTGTGTATGTGTGTGTGTGTGTATGTATGTGTGTGTTTTTTCATTTTTTTATTTTAAAGTTTGTGTTGTTTATGAAAACTTGTTGTAAGATTTTATTATAATTTCTAAAACCATGTTGTGTTTATCATTGTGAATATCCAAAAGGATTATATATATATATATATATATGTGTGTGTGTGTTAAAAACAACATCATGTTGAACTCAATTATGTATGTGGATATAACTCTGATGTTATTATTGTTCTTAACTAGAGCCTGAAATTTAGTCTGAAATTTTATTTTACATGTTCTTATGTGATTTTTTATTCTATACTTATTGAATTGAACCACACATATTTTTTAAAGTTTATTATTGGCATTGAGTAATTAATTTAGCATGATAAAATAATATTTTTTAAAGCATATATTTTAAAATTTTAAAGTAAAAATAATTAGTATTCTTAGAAAATTCTTTGTACAATGTGATAGAATTTTTTAAGAAAAAATGTAGATTAAAAAATGTACACATATTTGAAAAGTGAATTCTAAATTCCTATTTTAATGATTTTAAGATCAAAGATATATTTTTAATTATTTTAATACAAACTTAATATATATCCAATTTATCTTTGTATCACTATAATACTAAATGGTATAAATAATTACTAAAATATACATATAAATCATAGCATTAGTCTAGGAAGATTAAAAAATAAATAAATAGAAACTTCTTATTTGTATTAGTGGTAGCTAGAGTTATAGACTTTCAAATGAAAGGAAATAAAATAAACATGTGTCTTAGCAAACTTTTACAATTTTATAATTGATTTTAGATATTTTATAAAAGATGATATTTTTTACTATGAAAATATAAATTATCTTATAACAATAGAATTTTACATTAATATATATATATATATATAATAATTTATTAATATCATATTTTAAAATTATTTTATTAATAAATTAAATTCCTACATTATTAGAATTTGACATAAGCACATATATTATCCATGATTGTAATCATATATATTACAAAATTTAAGTTTTTATAAATTATAAAATTATTTTATAACATTTTTAGAATTATTATATTATAAAACTTTATTTTTTATTTTTATTTGAGTTTATTATATTTTATGGTTTCTATTAATAATAATACTTTTGAATTTATATAATATAATAAAATTTCTTTCTTTGATATGATGTTCAAGTATAGATTATTCTTTTGTGAGTCCTACCAATACATCCTAATTGGTGGATTAATTAAAAATATAATTTTAAATTATTTAATTATATAAATATTAAGATTAGAGAGTGTATTTGATTATTTAATTATTTATTATAATTTAGAAGTATTTATAAGTTATAAAAGTCTTATTAGAAGAAAAGTTATAAAAATGGAGTCTAAGTAAGTCTTAGAGGCAATTATTTTAGTTAATTTAGTATTTTTACTTATTTTCAAGTATTAAGGATTAGTTATTTAGACCAATATCTTTATTGGCCTCTTATCTATATTTTTTACTTATAAAAACCCTATCAATAATTAATTAGTAGTTAGAAGAGGCATGAAGAGAACTTCATGTCTTTTTAGTAATTCTTTAGAAAATAAGATTTTTAGTGGATGTAAATTGATTTTATTACTATAAAAAATCAAAAAGATAGGAAAATATAGTCTTAAATAGATATTATCATTATAAAAATATTATATGATTTTTTAGAATTTATTTAGATTTTATTTAGATTTTTTTAGGAATTTTTATAGAAGATTTCAAGACCTTAGTAAAATTGGGTTTTATTACCTTGGGAGCCATTATGAAGAAATGAAGAAAGATCCAAAGACCATATAAGGTCCTTAGGCTATTAGGGTGTTTTTAAACACTATAGTGAAGTCAAAAATGAAAAAAAATGAGTTATACTAGTAGAAAATAGGAGGACCAGTAGTTAGTCTAGTCCTTGTAAGAAGGCAAGTATACAAGTCACATATGGGTTGTAGTACCTTGGGTATAGGTAGGAAGATAAGACTAAGGCCACAAGGTCTTTCTAGACAACCTATATACACTATTTGTGAGCCGTAGTTAAGCTAGAACTCTTGATTTCTTAAGCAAGTTACCCTTGAGGTAAAAATTATTCACTTAACTTCTCTATTATTAACATTATATCTTTAATCTATCATAACTTATTCATAATAACTTAAATTTATATATTTTTTTTAATATCATTGAGAAGATAAAAAAAATTATCTATCTAAAAATATATTTTTTACTTTTTACTTATTTATTCTATTAAATAAAAATCCAATAATTAGATTATGATTAGTTTATAGTATACAATTGCTTAACTGCACTTGTTTCACTTGTTTTGTGTTCTTCTTCTTTTTTTTCTTTACTCTAGTTATTTTCACTTCAAACAACCAATTACAAGCAACTCTTAATTGAGGTTATCTTGTAATTTGGATTGAAGGGTGAATATTATACTCACATCTTTTTAATTATATAAATTAATTTATATTCTTAAACATAAATATATAAAATAATTTAGATATTTTTTATTTTTTTCACTTGTCTAATTTTATTTCAAAATCAATGTATAATAATGATGGTATTTTTTAAGATAATATTTAATATACTTTTAAACTTCATAATTATGCTTGGTATTGTTGAATACAAATGAAAGGAATTCTTAGCATGTGTTAAATGATGAAATTTCTTTTAAATACAATATTATTTTTAATGGCTACTATTTTATATAAAAATAAATTAAATACTTTCTTATATATGATATATTTTAAATTTTAAAAATATTTTTTTCTAAAATAATTATATTTAATATTATAAAATATTAATATATTCATACTTAAGCTTTAAAAAAGTAATATATTATCTATTTTAGTTTGATTTTATTAAATTATATTATTATTAATAATCCCTTATATAAGGCCTTTTATATGTATAGACTCTAATTCATTAATAAAACTCACATAAAAACTTGCTAAAATAAAATTAAAATTAAAATTAAGATTTTACTTTATATTTATAAAATTTTGATTTATTATAATAAATATTTATAATTTTATTATATTATATATATAATTTTGATATATAAAAAATATCCATGTATTAAAATTTTTAAATTGATCGACTTAAAACTTAAATCAATCCACATGTCTCTACTATATTTTGCTCTCATACTACCTAGGATTGTATACTTTCTTGCTAATTCCTTATTTTTGTACTTGGTAATGTTTTAATTGTACAAAGAGGTAAAAAAGATAGAAAATAAAACTCTTAGGAAGGACTATAATTATCAAGGATAAGAACTCAAAGTAGATATGTAAACAAATAAGCAATGAATTAAAGAAAGATGACAAATTAGAAATAAGAAATTGATTATATTTAATAAAAAATTAGAATGGCTATTGTCAAAGGTTACAAAACTAGAGATTCTTGAAACTAGATTAGAAGCAAGAAAAGAATTAATAAAAGTAAAGAAAACTTCATTCTTGCCTCCATATATACTATTTAACTAGGAGCTACATGAAAATGTTTTACAAAACTTTCAACATGTATTGGCTTTACAAGACATATGTCTTAACTTGCAAGGCAAGTTTTTTATATGTACATTACAAAGTTAACTTGTTTTATAAGCTACTAACATGTGTGACATGTGGCTAACTTGTTGACGAAGTTTCTAATCTACCAATCAACTACAAACATGTATAAAGTTAAAGCTATGTCTATGAAGCTTTTATAAAGCTTTCCTAAAAGATATTATAATATTAATATACTTTTACCTACTTCTACCTAATCATATAGAATATTATTGGAATAAATATATATGTCCGTGACATTACTCATCCTTCTAAAGAGGAATTCTACAAAAAGAGGTCATTATATGTTGAGAAAATCTAAGTTGTGACAAATTATATTTGCTACATATTCTAATCTTTATTTTCTTCAGAGATAATTAATAGGTCCTTTCAACCATTGATAGTATCTAATACTAAGGTGAAAAGACCACCCTATTATTTGATTATTGTTGAAGCCTTCATAATTCTCTTCAAATAAAATATTTGGAATATACTCAAAAATGGTTCATAATTCTAATAAAATCTCCAAACATCAAAAGTCTCTTCTAAAATTGTGATATCAAATACATTGTATCTTGCACTTTATTTGAGGAAGAACATGTTATTCTTAGAGATCTTTATCTTGATTATATTGTTTAGAAGGTTGTAACAAATATGATGTCTTGTCCGACAACTTAGCAAATAATAGCTCTTGAGTTAAATTTGTTAGTTGTTGTTTCTTCATCTTCTTAGCACCAAAAATATATAGAAATTACAAACAAAGAAAGAAGGTAGAATATTATCTTCTTTAGATCTTGTTTCTTCTATAACAAAGATTTGTTATTCTTCATCTTGGTTTTGATAGATGTCATTGATCAAAAGTCTTAACCTTCTTTATTGCATTTACAAGATTCTTTGCTACCTTCCATATGCATTCATTAACATCATATCTTTGCTAATAAACAAGATATTCTAAA